TTGCCCAGGCTGGTCTCGAACTCCTGACCTCGAGCGATCCTCCCGCCTCGGTCTCCCAGAGTGCTGGGATGACAGGAGTGAGCCACCGCGCCCGGCCTCATAGGAAGATTTATTGCGTTGGAAAATGCACCACTGTGCTTACTCATGGGCGTGTGTTCTGGAACGATCGTTGCTTTGCAGGCAGCTTCGTCCCGAGCGCCACCGTGCCAACCCTTTGAATTTCCTTTCTCAGGTGTGGCGAGACCGGTCACGTAGCCATCAACTGTAGCAAGACGAGCGAAGTCAACTGTTACCGCTGCGGGGAGTCGGGCCACCTGGCGCGGGAATGCACGATCGAGGCCACCGCCTAATTAATTGTCCTTTGTCGCCCCTCCTTTTTCTGATTTGATGGTTGTATTCTTTTCTCTGAATCCTCTTCACTGGCCAAAGGTTGGCAGATAGAGGCAACTCCCAGGCCGGTGAGCTTTCCTTGCCGTGTAAAAGGACGAAAGGGGTGGAAAAAAACAAACCGACTTTCTGCATTTAACTACAAAAAAAAAAAAAAAAGTTTCTGTTTAGTTTGGTAGAGGTGTTAATGTATAAATGCTTTGTTAAAGAACCCCCTTTCCACGCCACTGGCGAATAGGGATCGAGGAATGGGAAGAGTGGAGTCAGACCAGAGCAGTAAGCCCATCCTGGGTTTCTCGAACATGTTCCCACGTAGGAGGTAAAATGAGATCTGGAAGCGTCCATGAGCTTCCGTCAATAACATTAATTTTAGCGTAATGACGGCCTCGGATGGTCTGACCTCAGTAGCTATTAAATAACATCCAGTAACATCTGTTATCGGGCCCTACGTAGAACCTAACAGTTGAGTTGGGGTCAACAAGATACAAAGACACACACACGCGTGTCCGTGTCTATGCGAGAGAAATCGGGCTAGAAGCCTAAACGTCATCGCAGCCCCCACGCTGCACGTGTAGATGGCGTCAACAAGAGGTTTAGAACACGTTTCCTCAAAGACTAAAATCTAGAACCCGGAGTAAACACCGTTGCTCACCAGTTAGCCGAATTGGCAGTTCTGCAGGAGTTAGTTGCAAAGAAATGCATTTTCACAGAAATCAAGATGTTATTTTTGTATACTTATATCTCTTAGACAACTGTGTTTCCTTTGCAGTGACCGATTTTAAAAAAGTCAGCTGGAAAAAAAAAAAAGCAACCGAAGTCCTAGAAGAGATAAAATGTAATTTTAAACTTATTCCAATAAAGCTGGAGGAGGAAGGGGAGTTTGGCGTCAAGTTCTCTTTGTGCGTTTGGAAATTCTCCTTCAGGTAGACGGCGCAAAAGTGCCACAGTAAAGAGAGGGGACTCTGGAGGCCTGACAGGTGACGGTTTGGACTTTTCTTTTTCTTCCTAACTCAGGTACGTCTTCAGGAGTCAAAAACTGCCGTTACAAGGATGCGTAGGGTTTAGATACTGCGGTGTCAAACGGTTGTGTTTTTTGCAGAGATACATAAAATTCGCTGCGTGATCCCATTACAACGACGCTCTTTAGTTCTATGTTCGTGCCCAACGGTGCTGATACCATTTGCTGGGTTTCTAGCATTTTGTATTCTGGGCTTTTTAAAGGATCTGAAAATGCTGGGTGGCTTGTTGTTTCTAGGATCTGGGTTGGAGTCAAGATGGACCTTAAGACCATCCGGTTTCCTAGCTCCCTGGGAGGCCGAGGCGGGCAGATTGTTTGAGCTCAGGAGTTCGAGACCAGCCTGGGCAACATAGCGAGACCCCATCTCTACTGAAAAAATAGAAAGAAATTGGCTGGACAGCTAAAAATATATAGAAAAAATTAGCCGGGCATGGTGGCGCATGCCTGTAGTCCCAGCTACCCGGGAGGCTGAGGCAGGAGGATCGCTTGAGCCCAGGAGTGTGAGGTTGCTGTGAGCTAGGCTGACGCCACGGCACTCT